TTAAGCTATGCCTGCCGCATCCTATGCAATTCAGATCCGGAAACCAAACGATACATTGTTTCTCGATATTCAAATCGGTGGAATTCAAACATCGAAACGAAGAAAAAAGCTTGAGGATTAAGAGGGGAGAAGAAGCGGGAAGTACCTTTCAACTGATCAGACGATTTCGACAAGATCAGATCGTCAGGCAGATCGAACTTCCCTTCGGCCATGGCAGGATTGAAACAACCGACTTCGAGAGAATACGTAGAAGGAGGAGATGACCGAACGAGCGAGGGCAGTAGAGAGGAAAGAGGGTTTTGGAGAGATTGTACGGAGACCTTATTGCTTTTTGCTGGTTTTCGATTTGCCTTTGAAAGAGAAAGCTTTCGCGTTGAGATCGAGAGAATAAGAGAGTGAGTGAAAGGGGCGATAAAGGAAAGGCTAAGGAAGCCTTTCGTGGGCACAACACCTTTTTTTGCCCAAGTTTTTTTTTTTTTTTTTTTTCTTAAAGATTATCATTTTGTATTTATTTTAGTAAGAGTATTTTACAAACTGAAAATTCCAGTATTTTTTAATAAGAAGGATCAATATGTTCTCACAATAAATAAACTAAACTTAAAAAAAAAAATATTGAGGCGAAATATTAAACCTCTCATTCGGATCCAGAATAACCGATAACACTATAATTCGATCTTGTTTCTGTAAGGCAGTAAGGATAATAGTATTTGATCTTGTTTTTGTGCTTCAATTGGTCTTGTCTTTTTTTTTTTTACATTTGCTTTACGGCTTGCTTTCTAGATCTTTTATGTGTTACTGTATGATATTTTTGTTTTCATCTCTTCTGTTTTTATTTTGAAACCTTAGAAATTAATGAAATTTAGTGTTAAAACGACAATTTATCCATATTCCACCCTAAACTTCATACTTTGTCTATCACCCAAAAACGTGATCTGTCTAAAATGCGATAAATGCAATTTAATGAAATAACCACGATTTCAGTTGTTAATTGAATATACTGGAGATATATAGAAAAAAAAAATTACTTCTATTAAAACTGTATAATAACAAAACACTAATTTCAACATCATAAAACATATTAACTCATATGTTTCTAGTTTCAATAACAACTAGGGTTTGACCCGTGCCCTGCACGGGGTGATAGTTTCTGAATTTGTATTTTTATTAAAAATGTTTATTTAAATATTTCGACATTTTATGCGAGAGATTTTTAACTTTGTTATTCGTTTATAGTATGAAAATTAGGCATTTTAATCCATTTAAAAAAATAAATTAAAGCATTGATCGTAACCACAGATTAAATATGATAGATTTAACCGAGATACATAAAACTCAAATAACTATAATATAATAAGATAGTTTAAAGAAAAAAATTGAAAATAAAACATTATTCTTTAGAAAAATTATACATCATGTATTTCATAAGATAAAAAGTTTTAGCTGTGTGGACACGGATTAGAACTAATTTTTTTTTTCTTTCAAAACTAAAACATGCTTTATTATAATTTCAAAACAATCCAACCAATCAGAAAATAATATGCAGAATCCAAATTGTCAAAACAGCAAAAATATAATTAATTTTGTATAGAAAGTTGAAACAGATAGAGTAATATTCAAAAGTTTAATCAAAATAAAATATTTATAAAAAGAACTTTTTTATTCGATTTAATTATAGATTTTAATTAAAAAACCATATTAAATGAAAAAAAAAATACTTTGGATACCTACTAAATGAGGTTATATACGAAACAATTTATATTATTTTGTTTTTAAAAATTCAAATCATAACATGTACAGAAAAAGTTTTAGATTTTTTTTGATAGATTTTTTATATTGTGATTCAAATTATTTTATTAAATAAATTTAAACAAAGATGATAGAAGATGTATACTGATTTTAAAAGAAATTATTATGATGGAATTAAATTGAATCTCATATCTTCCTTATTTACTAATTTTCGTAGTTGCCAATTAAGGAAAGAGAATGATAAATTTAATTTCATTATTTGGTTGTAAGCATAATATGCAATGGCATATATTGTAATTTGTCTAGTAAAGCTTGTCTTAATTAGAAATTGCTCTAAGAGTGAACCTAGTGATGACACCTAAGCAATGACATTCTTGTTAATAACACATTAGACAAAGGTTATTTAGTTAGTGTTTTCTCTTTTAATATATTAGGGATGATTTAAATAAAAGCATAAGATCAGTTAGATATGTATATATATTTTTTAAACATGTCAAAAATCAACGACTTTGATGAAAAATAAAATCATAAATAAAGAAAAAATATAGCATTATTTAAGCAAGTTTTGGTCGGAAATAAAACAAAGAATGTATTATTTCTCACTGATAATTTGTTGCCTTCTTCATCACTCTCATCACACTATTGTTTACTGTAACCTCAATTGAAGACCGAATCCATTGTTCATGACACAAAGACTTTAATCATTTTCGTTTATGTTGGAACTTTTTCTGGTAAGCAAAAACGATTCCTAAGAGTTAGGAAACTACACCAACTACCAACCAGCTCTGGTTCCATCCTACTCCTAAGTCTTATTCCGGTAAGTTCCTTTAAGAGAAGTTTATAATTACCTGTCGGAAGTCTAAAATTTGAATTTTGCATATAGATCTTCTCAAAAATTGAAGAAAGAATTTTTTTTGGAAGTCGAATTTGCATTTACGCTTCCATTTCACAGAATTTGGAGAATTCTTCTAAAACCCATAGGAAATCATCTACTCGATCTTGAATTTTGGTAGTTTAAAGAGAAGAAGAAGAATCGTAGAAGATAAATGTCTGCAAACGGAATGTAGGGGTGGCTATTATAATGACGTTACTATAAGTCCATTGGTTATGTCCTTTTGTGATTGAGTATCTTAGGTTCCAATCTTAAATCTGCGGAGTAGGTAGTTTTTTTCAAAAATTGTATTTTTAAACTAGGGGGTGATCCGCGCTATGCGTGGTTGTGTTAGTTTTATTGTTTTTCCGCAAATTTAATATTGTTTCAAAGATATTATACACATATTACTTAAATATAATTAGAGTTAGGCCAATGTTTTGTACCATCTTGTTCCATCTCGTCCCATTTCGTTCATTTTCATCTTGTACGTTCTTTCCCATCCCGTTTGTCATGCATGTCATGTCCCGTTCAGTCATATCCTATTCCATTATGATTTTTTCCATTTTGTTTATTATTGTCTCGTTCCCTAAATATAATTAGGGTAGACATAATTCTATCTCATTCCGTTCCTTTTCATATTGTCATGTTCTTTCTCATCCCGTTTGTTCTGTCCGCCCCATCCAGTCCCATCATATCTTATTATGTTCATTTCCATTTTATCTTATCTCTGTCTCATCTCTAAATATAATTAGGGGTAGGCAAAATTCCCGTCCCGTCCCTTCCCATCCCATTATGTCCTTTTTCATCTCGTCCCGTCCAATCCCGTCATATTCTATTTCTTTTCATTTTGTCCCGTCCAACATTTCTGTCTTGTCCCCTCTCATTATATTTTTATTCGTTTTTCCGTTCCACCCCTAAATATAATTAAAGGTAGGCGAAATTTCGGTCTTGTCCTATTCTGTTCTTTCCTTTAGATCTCATCTCGTCACTTAATATCATAAGAAGTACAAAATTCCCCACTCTTCCGATTCCATTTTTTTTCGTCTCGTCATATTTAATCTTGTTTCTTTTCATCCAAAAATACTATAGAAAAAACAGTGTTCTTTGTATAATAAAATTTTATTTTTATTATTATTATTATTATTATTATTATTAAATAATAGTTTTATGATTTATACATAATATTTTTTTTTCTTTTACAAAAATTGACTTTTCAAATTCTTGCAAAAACTATTGTATTATTTAATGATTATATTAATGAATGATCATAAAGAATTAAAATATAAGAAGAGAAAATATAATAAATTAAAAATAATAAATACAATGCTGACATAGCCAATTGGTGAATTTAGAAGCACCTATTTTGGGTGAGGTGGCAACACCAGAATAGAATCATATCAACTTTATATATATAGATATAGATGGGTTTCAAAACTTTTTTTTTGCTTTCAGCCAAAAAAAATCATGTTGAGTGAGTTATAAAATAAAAAGGGTAAAGTTGAAGTACTACTTTTAGGTGTAACTGGTGACCAAGGAATGAGGGGGAATAAGACAATTCCACTTCATTCCTTAAAAATTACACTATTTATAAAGAATGTGTATTCCATATTATTCCTTGCCATTCCATATTAATTAGGGAATTATAGTGTTAAAATATTCCTTATAAAATATGAGGAGGAATGAGTTCCATATATTTTATTCCTCTTCATTCCATTCCTTCTCATTCATTTTGTTCATTTACAGGTAGCCTTAGAATCTAAACGTAGTAGATAATTAACATAGTATAATTTAAATGTAGTAGATAATAGTTTTTTTTTTTTTTCTAAACTAACTAAAAGATTCGGAAAATCCAATTTTTTTAAGTAAAAATAGAATAAAGATAAGTTTTTCGGTAATTTTACATATTTTTCCTTTATCTTGCATGTTTTCGTGTATTCGGATAAAGAAAACCGATAAAAACCGCCCGAACAAGAACATAATTGTGCAAAAACCCGAACAAGTCTATAAAAATTTAGCCCTGAACCCGATAAGAACCAAACCGAAACAAAATCGAAATTTTTCTAAACCCTGAACGGGTCTAAAATTTAGCAACCGAAAAGACCCAATCCGAATAGAACCGACCAAGGCTAGCTAGATAGAGGGAAGGCTAATAGGGGGTGGGGGTCAGCAGCAAAAAAAAAAGAAAAAAAAAACTGTGTTAGTTGGTGAAGAAGCAAAAAAAGCAAAAAGCGAAAAACCCTACTCAGAGAAGAAGTCCGGGAATTCCGTCGAACACTTGGGCTGCGTTTTAAAGTTTTCCGGATGGCGCCTTTTGTCTAAAACCTCTCTCTACCTCTCTCTCTCGCTTTCTCACTCTCTCCAGAGATCTATCTCCCCCACCATGTTCGGCACTCCGTCTTCCTCGTCGGCGTTCGGCACTGCGTCGTCCACACCGGCGTTCGGTGCGTCTTCAGCCTTTGGCTCGTTTTCTCCTTCCCCGGCGTTCGGTACACCATCATCCACGCCTGCGTTCGGAACGCCGTCGACATCTTCCTTCTCCACTGGCGGATTTGGCTCCTCACTCTTCTCTACTCCCTTCTCATCCCAACAGCCACAGCAGCAGCAACAGCAGCAGCAGCAGCCGAGCTCGCTGTTCGCGCAACCACCGGCATCTACCAGTTTTGGTTTTCAGTCACCGTTCAACACGACACAGCAGCAGACGCCTTTCCCAAATGCGCAATTGACCACTCAGATGGCTCCCGTTGCTCCCATTGCCTTTTCTCTCGCCGATCGTGATGTCCAGGTATTGCTCTTTCTTTTCACCATCAACTCCCTTCCTTCCTTGTAATTCCAGATCTGAAATTCGGAACCCTAGTCTTTACTTTCTTGATCGCTTTTGATTTAGGCCATTATTGAAGCGTATAAGGAAGATCCGACGAATTCCAAGTTTGCTTTTAAGGTTAGTTTGTTGTGGATTACTCTGAAATCTATAGCTGTTTATGTTTATGTTAACTGTAGTTTCGATTTGCCTGCAGCATCTTTTGTTCAGTGTGACTGAGCAACAGTACCGGCACAAGCCTGCAACTGTATCAGATGTGAGAGTCTTCTTGATCCTTTCTTCTATATCATGGAATTGAAATGTGCAGTTTTTCTTGTGTTTAATGAAATCCTATTGATCAATTTCTTGGTTTCTAAATGATTTTATCTGAGATGATTGCTTGTTTTTGGTGGTAGATAATGTGGGCAGAGGCAATGAGCAAACTCGAAGGCATGGATTCAACAGAAAGAGAGCGCCTGTGGCCTCAGCTTGTCCAAGGCTTTAAAGATCTTTCTCAGCGCCTCAAGGTTGATTTCATCAACTACGATTATCTCTTTGCTTTTTGTTTTATGGGTTTATGGGGTTGCTTAGGCAAATACTTATCTTTTTTAAGAATAAAGATTGACATCCACTGATATGTGAAGATATCATTTATTCAGCACACTTAACAATTGAATCTTGACACTCTTTTTTTGTTTGGGTACCTACAGCTTCAAGATGAAGTTCTCGTCTCAGATAGGGAAAGAATAAAAACGACTCAGAGCAACGTCAAAATGGTAACTTATCAGTTCTCCACTCTCTCTCCCTCTCTCTATCTCTCACTCATAGTTTACTGGAGATGATTTTGTTGTTACAGCTTCAGAGGCATTTGCAAGCACATACCTTTCCATCCATTGAAAAGTTGAGACAGAAGGAGCAGAATCTTCAACGACGCATGTTGAGGGTAAGAGAGAAATCGTCGCATTGAAAAATACTTACCTCGTTATGTGAGTTCAGATTACAGTCAACGTTACATTTACTCTTGTGTTGTGTGCTCGAAGGTTATGAGGATAATAGAGAGCTTAGAGGGAAAGGGTTTTCGGTTACCCTTGACAAAAGGAGAGGCTGAACTGTCAGAGAAGTTAACTGGAATAACAAGACAGGTTTGTCTCATGTTTTTTAATTTTTTTGATTCCTACTTTGAGGTTTGATGCAGAGAAATAAGAAGGTGGATAATCTCTCAGGTGAAAGGTCCTGGAGCAGAGCTTTCTAGGAGGGTGCAAAGTCTGCAGTCTATATCTCGCGCTCAAGCACATTCCTTCTCTGCTGGTAGTTCCATTTATCTCCCGGGGTCAACTAAAATAGACGAGCAGAGCCTGATTGATATGCAGGAGGTACGAGAATGCGACCCTCTTTGGTCCTTTTGCTTGCTTGTTTGTTTCTATTGTAAAACTAACAAGTGTGTTTGTAAACAAGCAGGTATTGCAACAGGAGACCGAAGCCGTAGGAAGACTTGGGAACGTATTGAAGCGAGACTTGAGAGATACGGAAATCATGGTGGCTGAAGATACAGAAATGACTCAAGACGCATAAACGCGGATCTGCAACTACTCAAGTTTCTAATCTTTACTACCGCCTGGTTAGATGCGCACATTGTTTATGCTCATGGCTAGATTTGGACTTTAACATGTACGTAGTAGCTGAGCTATAAATCTTTATGTATTGTGATTTCTTCTTTTTCATTCAAGTATTTGGAAAAGATTGCCTTATTTTTCACCACTGTTTGAGAGATATCATGTTCAAAAGTTGGTAAGCAAAACGTTTTCTAAAACAGAGGGTACTCTTCAGACATGATTAAGAGGATAAGTGCAGACCAGCCGGTGAAGACACGTGCACCTTCTCCAGTTCCTGTTGTTTGATCATAGTGCTCCCAGATATATCCAGTCTGGTCATAGTTTTTAACCACGTTCCTGCATCAACAAACACAATATAGGTAAGGCCACATATACCCAATCATCTTCAAACTTAAAAATGTACCTAATACAAGCAAGCTTGTATACCGTATCAGATTGCTCCTTAGTTCCTCGTAAATGGTTCTTGCCTTGCTGCTGTACGGTCCATCCACTGCAGAAAATTTGATTGGTTTAAATTAGGATTTGTCGTTTAATTTTTGTGAAGTGAGTGGATCAGAAATGTTACCTATAGAGTAATGGTGCAGGGAAGAGAGTAATCATGTAGTTCATGTTCATCCATATTGCACCTCTCCAATATGGTGCTTCGTGCTCAGTGTTATACTTCATGTACAAAGAACTGCACAAATGAGAGTGCTCATGAAAAAAAAAATGAATGAAGATTTTGTCAGGTATATGTTGGTTCTTGCAGGCTCACTCACCTAGTTTTGCCAAGGGAAAGTAGTCCATAGTCACTCCATACGATGTTCCTGTTTGAAATGAGATCGAGCTGTTTCTCGAGGATTGAAGAACCCTTTCATCAACAACAAAGGTGAATGATTTAGTTTTAGCTGTTCACAAGGGTTTAGATGGATAAAATGGAGGAAACAAACAAGCACTTACAGGCGGGATGATTCTAAACATGAAGGGGAAGAAGCTGACGTAACCAATGTGAGGAACCAATCTTAGCTCTGGCTTCCCAAATGTCTCCCTCACGAGCTCTAGAGATAGGTGGCCATCTTCATTAACTAGCTCTTTCCAGATTAACCGAACCTGGGAAATCAAATCCACTTATTAGTTTTTTTGCTTCTACAATGAAAGTGATGTGAGATATAATTCATTCACTGAAATTTACTTACATGTTCTGTATGATTACCAAAATCAAGGTAAGCCCCAAGATCATGGTCATAGTGCATCTGTAAAGATATTAGAGGTGAAGAAGAGAGGAGAGTGAGAATAAGAAGAGAGATTGTATACGAATAAAAACCTGATTCAGAAGATTGAAATCTGAAAGCAGCTTGACAGTTAAGCTGTAGTCCTCCTGCATGATTCAGTTTCCAAATCAACACATGAGACTTAGAAAATGTAGTCTTATATATTCTTGTCATGTTTCTTCTAACCGTCGTCACAAGTCTGTCCTTTTCCCCTAGAAACTCTGTGATGGAGTTCATGCAATCTGCAGCAAGATACATCCAGCATCTGAGGTCGACATGCCTCTCATCTTCAGTTGGGTGTGAAGCCCGAGGATAGTCATCCAAACCCGAGGAAAGAGACTGCACAAGATTTTTTTGTCAAAGTGACTATGATTAGGGTGTTTAGAGCCAGGTTTAGAGTATGGTTAGGTTTTCATGTTTTTTTTTTTTTTTTTTATTAGGGTTATGCTTAAGTTATAACAAGACCTAAATAAAGGTCTCTGTTGATTAATAAGAAACCAACTTCCAAGAATTAACCTTAAAAATCTCTAAAGAGAGTTTAGGGTTAAGAGGAACCGTAGAGTAGCTACCTGAGGGTTTAGTTGCAGAGTTGTTAAGCTGTCTCTGCCATGCCAAAAGTAACTTCCCAATACCTTCCCTGTTGTTTTAATCAAGTGAAACAGAAACCGTTCAACGTAGGAGTAGATGAAGTACACACAAGAATTCTTCAGTGCGACTTGTTTGTGGTAAGTCACTTAGATACTTAGAAAAACGAAACACAGAGAAGTGGACTAGAGTCTCCATGTTTTTTTTTACCTTTCTGGGATGTATTGAACCATTGAAACCATGCACCTAGCCGTACAAAAGCTCGGTCAAGGAATGACCATATATCATCTCTTTCTTCCTGCTTAAATTTGTCTGTCCTTATCCCATTTATCAGATCTGGAAAAGGAAAAATACAAAGAGAATGATCTAATCTCATAATTTCAATCCAAGAGTATCCAGCAAGGTGAAGCACTACTACTCTTGGAGGACAAAGTCCTTATTTTGTAGACCAAGTGCTTGTCCCTCAAACAAAAACAAGAACCATAATCAAAAGACAAAGATGTTTGAAAAACACTATATATATATATATATATATATTCATACCGCGTATCACCAAAAGTAGTGTAGGTGGATTGCCATTAGTTGGGATCTGAACAACGTACTCCTTTGGTATCTTACTGCAGCAAGAAAAACACTTAGGAGAATTATTGATAGCACAAGAAACAATAATAATGGTTATTGAGGTTAGTAAAGAGTATATTATACAACAAACCTCAGAGCTTCTTCTCCCAAAATTTGCTCACGCGGTATCCATCCATCTATATTCATCAGGTCTAACCAGTTTCCAACTATTTCCAAGGTTATACGGATATTCCAGCGCCTGAATCAAGTACACACACAAGCAATCCAAATACTTACCAAATCTTGATCCTTAAAGAAACATATCAAGAAAAGGCTTTTGATTATTTTAATGATCTTGATAAGAACAAACCAGATCAAGAGTTGATGGAAACCTTCATCCCACAAAAACCCCCGAGGAAACACAGGCCGGCTTGGAACTGCTGTGTATAACTCAGCTGGCCAATATAGCAAGAAACCACTTTCACTTTTAGGCTGCTGCAACTGAAAATAATAACTCTATGAACCTGTTTTCTTTTTTATTTTAAAGAAGTTGGACATAGTGTGAAGCGCAAAAAAGAGCAAGAAAAAATGAAAACTCACCTGAGTACTTTTAGGAACCTGAATTTTTGATTGACCATAGAAGTAACCAATGCCACCAAGCATATTCCCAATTGCAGCTTTACCAACCACCAAAGTTTCAGAATCAAGCTGGAATCAGAGCAAGTATATTTAGCTATGATACTCTCTCTATTGTCTTGACTCAAGTATTTTCACAGTCTCTGGTCAAGTATATCCTCCATAAAACAAGATGTTTTGATGTGCTAAAGATGAGCTATAACATTGGCATATCTCAAGGGTTTAGATTAAGAAAAAAGAGTATAATTAATCACACACCTTTTCAGAAAGGTGGAAGCATTCTTTAAACTTTGCCTCAAATGCTATATGTTTCTCTTCAAGTAGATTAGAGAGTGGCAAACCTAGACATAATAATTAAAATTGGAAACTTAGCTCAATCATCATCAATACTTGGAAATAAGAGGAGGTTGATTAACCTGTAAGACTCATTACACGCTTTTCAACGTCAGAGGTTTCTCCTTTTATCCCAGAGACCAAGGCAATATCTATAGTAGATTGCGTCGTCGCGGAAATCTGCATGAAGAAAAAATAGTGGAATGATTATGAATGAAGAAACAATTACAATCATAGAATTCTTATGTTTTTTTTAAAATAAACTCTGTATTCACAAAATCTTGATCAAGACTGATTACCTGAAAAACATAAATGCTGGAAGAATTCTCTGATGTGTCAGAGAGCTCAAGTCGTCCAGACTTGCTTTCCTAAAATACAAAGCGTGGTAAAAAAACATAACAGTTTGGAAACTTGCAAAGCTGAGATATAACCTGTGCAGCAAGATCTTAACATTAAAACCAAAAACAAAACCTGTGCAGCAAGATTTTTCTGAACATTATCAGACAGATTGACAATATCAGGCTTCTTGAAACCGCAGTAATGTGTTCCAAGATGATTCTGCAAATAAAGAGCATTTGTTAGAACAACTAAGATCCCATGATCTCTAATAAAAAGCATTGCAAATAAAAAAGCTACCTCTGATTTCAAATGCATCTGCCAGTTTCCTACATCTGCACGTGAACCCGAAGCTAAAATAGAACTGTCTTTAAGCTTTAATACATCTTTGCCTAGATTTAGAACATTTCCATCTTCATCAGCTATATAGAAGAAGAGATTTGCATTTCTCTTTACTTCATCATTCAACCTATTTTCCAAACATTAAAATATGGCTACTACAAATTAATTTAGGCAACTATTATGATAGCAGAGACACATTTAAATTAATCAGTAATTTACATACCCTGTATTTTTGACATTGATTCTGACTGACCAATCTCCTCCATAACCAAGGCTTCCCTCTTTAGACTGGACAAAACTTGTCTCCAATATCATATCTTGTTCAAGAAGCTCTTGCCTCCCAAAATCTATCCCATTGTGTTCTCTCCAGCCAAATGACTTGAGATCGTCAGAGTTTTCACAGAAATGTCTCATCACATGCTTCCCATTCCCATCTTTCTCACCGAGCCACATCAAGCCAGCGACGAGGGACTGAGGAGTTCTGCATTGTGATTGTAAGAGAAAGTAACACAGTTTCACATTATATGGGAATGGTTCATATATAACAAACTCATATACATAGGCATTATAGTCAAACAAATGAGGTTATAGGAGTTTTAGAAAGTAAAGATGATATAGTACTGTTCTTTTCCTATTTTTCGTTTATCAAATTGCAACATTTATGTGAAAAAAAAAACTGATTCACATACAGATCATCTCAGACAAACAAAGGGAAACTCTGTCAACAATACCTAGCACGAACTCCAAAATACACCTGAGGGCGATAAGTTCCCCAATACAAGCTTTCTTTATGATCACCTTGAAACTGGTTCAAGAAACTCCAAAATTCAAGAACAAAAAACAAGAAGTCAAAGCAAAAGCAAATGATTGTTGAGACTTGAGAGCGTACCATAGGTAAATCCATGAGTTTAGGACAAGGAAAAGGAGTGATAACACGAGGTCTCTGGGATTGATCATTGAGCAGATCTCCCAACGGTAATTTGATTCCACCAGGTTCACTCTTATGGCTTTCTCCGGTCATCATCTGAGTATCGGAGTATAATTTGTATATATAAACTAAGCGATGAGAGAAAGAATTGTGAATGATCGTTGAAGCCAAGAAATGAGAAGTGAAGTCTCTGGAAGACTTTTAACCAAAACTCTGGTTTCTCAAGTTTTGACCTTTCTTTTTGTTGTTGTTGTCACATTCTTTTAAGGTCTTTTATTGTTTTTAGACTTTTTCTAATAGTTTTCTTTTTAAGTCGTGATGGGATAGTGATCATGTTGACAGAAGAATAACAACGCATTTTAAGACAAAACCGTGCTCT